GCAAGCGGATCTATGCCGCGGACCCTGATGCATAATGGCATCACAGACCTGTTATTGCCTCCATGGCAAATGGATGGTTTGGTCATGACAGGAACAAGCACAGCGAATCACACCCTAAACCCTAACCCACACCTCCCCTCACCCAGCCAGGAGTACGTGATGACGTCCAAGACGTTGTCTCCAGGCGTGATTATTGGATCGGATGAGGCCTTGGATTCCGCCTACGACGTGACTCGGTCCGCTATGTGAGCCATGGCTACTTGTCTGTCGTGCCAGGTCGTCTCGATGGCGTTCCAGATGAGCCTCGGCCTTGTTCCTTTTTGCAGGAAAGTAGCTGCATGCCTTCTTTTCCTCTATCTGCCTGTGCGGTGTGCTGACTCAGGTTCCTTCCAAAAAGCTTCCAGGCAGTCAAGGCTGGACATGAGCTGCGTTCCATTGCGGGCCTGCCGAGATGTGGGTTGAGACTTCGGAGGTTGAGGTTTGGCCATCGGTTTTAGTGCAGCTGCACACAGTCCCTGAGACCACAACACGACTTTCGTCTTTGTTCTGGCAGGCCGCGGCGTGGATCACGAAGAGGCACAAGGCACACTATGGCATGAAGAGTTTATTCAGTTCTGCAACTGGAAGCGGAAACTGACTGAACACAAACCGACCGTAGGCTGTGATGGCAGGCCAGCTCGGAGCTTACAACAATTGATTGTTGCGATGCTGGTTTTGTCTTTGCATCGCTGCTCTGTGAGTTTCATACGGGCTCACGTTCAAGACGAAAGATTACCAGCAGCAGGGCCCCCTGAAAAAAGTCTGTCGTCGCTAGTTGGCGAGGCGTCTCTGAGATTCCTGAAGGGCTGTCAGCTCCGCATGCTGCTGACTTGTTTCCGAGGACACTACCAGCACCAGTTTCACCAAGATGCTGCAGGCCCCACGCAGCATCAGTAGCTTGGGCCAAGCCCAGCCATCGACGTACGGATCGGACCCAGTCTTCCCGGTGAGAGTGCGCTGTATCAGCTTAAGAATACTGCATCAGGACGCGCTGCTGGCATACGAAATGGATTTCGCAAAGGCCCCAGCGCAAGCAGTGTACGGTCCTGATCTAGGCGGCCAGAAAGCCCAAGGAACATGTACAGCATCAAAACAAGAAAGGTCATTGACTGATGTCCGCGTGCAGTGTGGATTATAGCTCTTTGCCCCGAGTTCATCGCATAAGGTGGAGGGACCTATCCAGTCGAAACCCCAGCCATGCATCGACTGACTGACATTTCGAGTCCCAGGCTTACCAAGAAGCAAAAAGAGAGGATCGAAACGAGGCGACTGAAGTCAAAGCTCCAGGCCGGCATAGGTTGCAGATGCAGCCGCCACGTCTGTACGTCGATGATCCGCGTTACCTGGCGCAGATCCTGCGACGACAAGGGATTTGGCGCAGCGCCTGCCTCTGATCTTGCAACAGTGACTCAGCGACTCTACTCTTGGAACCCTGCAGGTCACGCCACGTGCATGGAGTATTTCTGAGTTTTCATGCCTCCGTGTACCCGAGAAGATTGAGGTCCCGCAGCCCTTTTTATATTAACTTTACCCGTCTGAAGCAGCGCTGAGGCAGAAAGGCAGGACGGACAAGTCCAAGTTGGCCTTCAACCCTTTTGCAAAGGATTGCGAACAATGGAGACGCGCGTGCGAACCAGGGTCAAAGCTCTTCAAAGGAGCTTTTACATGGGGAGTATGTAGGGTTGAAGGTTTAGGGGTTTAGGTTTTAGAGTATTGCTTAGACGGCCCCAAACGCAACTTGAAAATCTTCACAACGAAGCAAAGGCTTGAGAATTTAGGGCTGTAACTTGAAGTGCTGCGTAATTGCTGAGCAAGGCGGCGTGGGAGACCCGGACAAGTTGGGAAACTCACGTTCTGCTGCCCTCCGCGCATCCGAGAGAATGGAGGTCCCGTGCAAGCCCTGGACTCAATTTTGTGAAGGCTCGAGCACAGCCCTGAATCCCATTTTGACACCGTAAGCTCTTTACCCTTACCTCGAAACCTGGACCCTTCGCCTTCTTTTTTCAGTCTCACCCTAAGGGCCGAGTGCTTTTGACAAGGTTAGATTTGGTGGCAGCTACGTGATTTGGCGGTTTAAGGCTGTAAATTTCATCGGCAGCCCTAGACTGCACATGTGCCCTGCGTCCCTATCCTATCCCACTCACGTGTTCCAGGCGTGTACAGCGACGTTGAAAAATCAGAAGCAAATTCGAAAAGCTTCAGTAACCTGAAGGGTAGGGCAAGCGTGACTTCGTGACAGATCAATCAGGTATCGAAGCCGTCCGTGGTGATAGCCAGTCTTGCTCCAGCAGTATGTTGGCCATACCCATAACTCAAGTGTAGGTTTTGGCACCCGTGTTTGAAAGACCTGGTTTCAGCACAAGAGCTCCACACCTTCGCGTTTTGTTGGTTTGTGTTTGAGGGCTTGACGACTCTTTGGCAGTATATGCACAGTAAAAAGTCAGGTCAACTTGCGTGAACAGTGAATGAAGCTTTGCCTGCCATGGGGCTGCCTTCTGAGCATAAGGCTTTGGGCTTGCAGCGCTCAAGATTGGAGATGCCACTCATGGCACGATGCACGAAATCAAATGTGGGCTGCTCTGAAGGCCAAATCGCAGCCAGAGTTCAAAATGTTCGAGGAAGGTTTCGACCTGGTTGCAATGTCCAGCTGTCCACCAGCTGCAATCACTGCCTTGGCGTTGCAGCTGGTAGTGGACGTGACAAGCGGCAGCATAGGCGGAGAGGGCCTGTTTCAGCTGGAGGAGCTGTTGCGCTACGCTCTCGAAAAAGACCAGGGCCTAGCTCACATGATTTGCTCTGGATTCCCCGTCTTTGGGGCACTCGATTGGCTGGCAGATGTCATAGCGGAAGCAATGCCAGATGGCCTTGCCCCAGAAGGGTGCACAGGGGTCCAAGTCAACCAGTTCCATGCCGTGCTGCATCATCACCTGGCCTGGGAGAGCGAGAGGCCAGCGCCGATGCCTGTGCCTGCCACTGCAGCGCTGGACCTTCTTCAAGCTACGCGAGGAGACGACGGGACAAACGGCTGCGCAGCGGCGCGCGGCGCAGCCACGCTCGTCCTGGCACTGGGTCAGGCGAGCCCAAACGGGGTCTGCCTGAAGGAAGCCTTGCTTGATTTTCTGACAAAGGCAAAGAGACTATTGCTTGCAGAAACGGGATCTGTTGCCATGAGTCTCATGAGCCGGCGCTGGCTGCCCGCCAAGCTGCTGCATGAGCTGAGCATCAAGCAGGTTCACCTTGAGGCAGAGGAGCCCTCTGAGCACTGCATCATTCTGATTTACACCTTCCCTACTGAGGAGATTCGCAGGGATGTCAAGAGCGCTCTTGAATCCCTGCAAACGCACTTTGTGGATGCTTTGGGCAGCGAGCCCAGACTGGTGGTTTTTGTGGATGCCCAAAGCGAGCATCTACTGGACCAAGATGTGCGTCCCTTCACACGCCTACGCATTACACCAGCCGTCATTCCAGAGCAGGAGCTGAGGCGTCCCATGCGGTCTTACAGCTGCCAGAGAGGAGAGGTTTGCACTTCAGGCAATGAGGAGCTTGAGCTTGCAATGGATGCCCACCGTGGCAAGGTAAACGAAACTCAGTACTGGTCCCCAACCTACTTACGAATCTCAAGGTATACGGCTGGGCCGCTGTTCTTACATCCTGCTTTAGACTCTTGTACACACTTCCTGAAGATTGACACCGACTTTTTCTTCACGGAGCCACTCCAATGGGATCCCATCCGATACATGAAGAACTCTGGCTTACGACTGGGCTACTGGCAGATACACGTGCAGGGCCAGCGCCAGGAAGGGTACATTGAAGCGGCAATGTCCTTCCTCAAGGACTAGGTAGTAAGAAGCCTTGCAAGTACATGTGACTGGCCGTTGAATTTCCTCAAGCTTAGTCCGCTTACCCTAAACCTAAAACCCTACAGCGTAATCACTAAACCCTAAACCCCAAGCCCCCAACCCCAAACGCACCCCTGTAGGAGCAGCAGCTGCCTATTCGCAATATGCGCTTCCATGCACGTGGTCAGTTTGAGGAGAAGGCGAGGAAGCTACAGATACCTCTGGAGTCTGTGCCGGTGGCGGACCAGGCATCGACCGTGTTGCACCTGGGCTCAGGGATGGCATCTGCAATGTGCAACATGTGCAACATGCGCAACTCCCCAAGAAGCTTTGGGGCATTTGAGGTACGGCTGCTTGTTTGGTGGTGACACACGCTTCTTTCGGGAACCACTGTACCAGTCCTTCTTCGAGTACATGGATAAGCAGCAAGGCTTGTGTACTCCCCTCAGGCTCACGCCAAGACTATGTTCTTCCGTTGCAGGCTTTGAAACCTATGGTTGGAGCAACCAGCTTCCTGGCTCATCTGGAACCCAGAGTTGGTCATAGCAACAGCGAGCTTTTTACTAGGTTTTTTCTGGGAACCGCCGCAGCGGCCTTCCTGGCCCCATGCGAGGCACACTTGGCCTCACAGAGATACACACTTGGAGTTGCTGGGGCCGTGCAGGTCAGCCGGCTTTATGTCAGTGGTGTGCACCAGGACTCGCCAAGAGAGCAGCAGAGCAATGTGCGTCTGCCAAAGCTCCAGATGCCTTTGTTATCTGTTGCTGCAGGACTCATCCATCAACATCTCACGCAGCGGTTTGGGGCCTGTCCTTCCAAGAAGAATTCTTGTGGATATGACGCTGCAGCGGACTGAGGCCACTTGATCGAGTTCTTGCTGGGTGCCAGCCACGGCTTCATGCGGTGACGAGAAAAAAGACACCTTTGCTTCCGCTGATGATTTTGGAATGTCACCGAGCGCATAGAAAATAAACACTCGACTCGAATTCTGTAGCTGGCTCAAGAGCCCTGATTGATTTCTAAGCTCGGTTTTGGGCCCTCGGCCGAGCACAAGGACATGGCCTTCCGTGCAGTGCAACGCCCAGCTTCTCTGAGGGATGAACGAATCGCAGATGAATAAGCCCTTGTAAGGAGCGAACGTGTGCATGTGTGTGGCCCGATCGCAGAACACGTCAGATTTCCCTTCGAGCTTGTGAGGCGCGGCCACTGCGCTTCCGCTTGACGAGGCTCTTGCGCGCAGGCCTTTGGCGACTCGTGTATTCATGGTGATCTACATTCCCTGGATACCTTGCGTGCCAACTTGACTCCATGAAGCAAATGGTTATCCTAGCCCAGGAAAAGAAATCTATCTTAGTTAAGTTTCTTATCGTGAAGGGAGCCCGAAAGACTTCAGCTTCTTGCAAGAGGATATAAGTGGTTGTGCACTGGAACTGATTACAGGAGGCGCCGAGGACGCGAAGCCGCGGTGGACACTGCCAGAGGCGCATCATTTTTGCAAGCACGCCGTGTTCTTTGACAGACGTGGGCCTCCTGCACTGACACGTGAGGCAGACTATCACAAGTACACATATCAGCCCTCTATCCCCGACAAGCACTTCAACATCGGACACTGGAACTATGCGCGAGCCTCACGGCGAGCTTGCGCAAAGCTCCTGCAGAGTTCCTTCAAAGATCCTGGATTTTTCTTGAAATCTGACATGAGCAGCTGAGGCCCCCATCACCATGTGGTTGCGCGCGCGGCGCCCCGCGATGGAGCGTGTTCTGGGCGATGTGTGGAGCTAAGCGGCCAAGGTTGAGATGTGCCGTGAGCTAACATGCCAGCAATTTGCCAGAGGTCTACACCACCCTCACAGCCACGGGCACAGCAGTCTGGTCGCCGATCTACGCCCCTGGCTTGGCTGACCCTGGGTTTGCGCTTCCGGATATCTACAGAATCGATTGCCAGGCAAACATCCACGCCAACCTTCCAGGATTTGGCTACAAGTTCCTGGGACTGGTAGGCCTCCGCCCCCAACGCAGAGTCGTCCAGACAAAATGATATGAAGCGTGGTCTGTCGCAGGCGCCTTGATCGGCTACAACTTGGCTGTGCCTCGCCTCATCTGCTCATCTTTTCCTTCCGATGCCTTTCACAAAAGCTTTGGAAACCAACTTATTCGCATGATCTCAGGTCATGTACGTCACCTCCCGTACTGAGGCTGAAGAATTGCTGCGGTGCTTTTTGCTTCCTTTGTATTTGGCTAGAGTGGCAAAAGGCCTGGATGTTCCTTGAGAAGATGCGCCTTTATGCCCTGGGCGACGAGCGACTCGGCAATGACGAGCCGTGCTCAGCACGAAGCTTGTAGGTGATGTGACCGATTGTGGTTGAGGCTAGTCAAGAAAGGCTTCTTCATGTCCGATGCAGAGGAGCTTGATATCTGTGCGTGCCAGTTATCTGCGATTCCTTTTCTGCACAGCCTGCTGTGCAGGATGCGCACTCGCGGCAACACAAGTATGAGCATGACGTGGAAAGGTTGAATCACCTCTGGGAGGAGGCAGGCCTTCCCCGCTTCCTGTCCCGCTTGACCTCTCCATAATTTTTTCTATACTTAACTTGCTTGAAGCAGATACAAAAGGCCATTACCGATGCTACGCAGATGAGATCCTTCGACAGGCGATTTCTCAGTGTTTGTTTGGAAGGAGGAGCATGCCAGTTCGCCTGTAAGGCTCTGCGAGCATCTGGCCGTGGACTCTGAGAAGCTCCCAGTGGCCGACGTCCCCAAGCCACTGCCCTAATGCATTCTTCAAAACGGCTGACTTTTGAACAACTCTTGTCTCCTTGGGCTTTTTCTCTGCAGCAATCTTAGGCCCATCTCGTGGCGATTCAGCATGATGCCGTCGCAACCCCAGGTTCATATTGCCAACCTAAATGGTCCTGGTGCCCTCTCTTGTCTTTCCATGTCACCTGGAGCTCGCGTTTGTGAGGTATGGACGAGATGACCCAGATGCCAAGACGTTCAGCTTTGCGCCTGTGGACTCACCAGCAGCCAGATACCCATTGAGTGACATCGTATGTATGAGTCACATCTGCGTCAACAGCCGCTGCATGCCAAGATGCCAAGGCTAGCAACTACTTTTTGCTGGACATGGGCAGCTCTGGCGATTACATTGACCGTCAGGTGGGGTCTGTAACTTGGGTGCAGCGATGCTGTGATAATCGCTTGCTCTGGCAGGACAACAAACCCAACCCTATCCGAAAGGGCCGCCACATGTACACTGCTGCGTACATGCCCCCGACGAAGTGAGCGGCTGCGCCCTTTGCCTTTGCGTCGAAGAGCTCTGGTCAAGGCACGAAAACGATTTTTTCATGGTTTCAAATGTATACATCTGTCATCAAAGCAGACAGCTGGAGCCCTCCAGCCTTTGTGCTTTGTAATGCATGAATCCAACGCAATGCACGGGTAGATGACTGGAGCCATGTTGCATCGGTGGGCTCCAGAACGCTCCGTGCAATCAGAGACGAGTGGGATGGAGCCATGACTAGTGTTAGCGCTGACATATATTGATCTTGATGAGCAATGATGAGCAGAGGGCCGCAGCAAAACAAGGTGATGCTGTCAAGTTGTAAGTTGTGCGAGTGTTGCGTGCGAATCCGAACTTGCATGGGTCTTGCAGCTACTCACAGAGACCTTCGTGGAGGTGAGCTGAAAGCTTCCCCATGCTTCTGCCAGCAGCCATGGCAGCCACCTAAATCATCACATGCCTAGCCCACCTTGAGTCAGCATTCTATGTCACTGCAAGAGTGTTGCCTTTCCGACTCCCATGGGCAGAGCGCAATGTTCGCTCGGCTTTCTGCAGGCCAGCTTTTCAGCTTGGATTTGAATCCGTTATGTGATGTGACGGAGATGTGCCAGGTGCTTGCACCGTTGGCATGCCCTTTGATGTTGCTGCAGGCGTGTCGACGTGCCTGCCTTATATTTTTGGCTCGGGGGAAAGGGAACAGGAGCGGTTGACTAAGATTTATGGCAACCCACGGCAAGCCCTTGAGGTCAAGGTTGGACACGCCGGGCCGGCGCCACGGCCATGCCGGTGCCTTAGGTGCCTGACGTGCCTATTGCTCTTTTTCCAGCCTCTCCGCTTAGATGCAAAGCTCGCTCGGAGTCTTTTTCAAGGTTTTCTATCCACGAGAGGATGCCGACGCTAGAAACCCGGCTGTGATTTGCAGATTTGCAAACGACAGTGGTATTGGGGCGGATAGTACGCATGGTCCGAGCACAGGCCAGGCCTCCGTCAAGAAGCCTATCTCAAGCTTCGCTGAGAGGACTGCCACGTTGAAGCCTGTCTGCTGCCGCTGTACTCAGTAGCACTTGACGGCAAGCCGCCTGACCGCGCAGGAGGCACAGCAAGCGTTCCAGCTCACGTCTTGGCTACCTCTGCCTCCTCACCAGGCCGGTCGATAGTGATAGCATGATGACGGCATTTCAGTGCCACAAGGAAGGTTTTTGTCATCTAAGCTTTCAAGAAACAAGCTTAACCGCGTGGGATTGGTGCAAGTTTTGGGGCAACTTGCAGCCGAATGCATTTTGCGCGTGATGGCTGGGCGCGCCCGGTGGAAGCTTGGTGCTCAATCACAAGAGGGACTTGCTCAATTTGCGGGAGGTTCCAAGGGGCAGGATTCAGAGCATTGCTTCTGCAAGATGGAGTTGAGGTGGGGCCAACCCTGAGCTTATCATTATGATGTCAAGTTCTCTCATGCTTATTATCTTCCTCTAGATTTTTCTGGTGCTTGCCAGACCTCCGTCGTCCACCTCAGCCAGGCGAGATTGTTTGAGCCCTTGCTCTCTTGTAGAAAGATGGCCTCTTAAAAAGTCAGGTAATCGGGAGATCCTTCCAGCGCGGTCTCCTTCGCCCGCACAAGGTTTCAGTTGTTGATGGTTGTTGCAGTTTTATACATTGTACATCATTGTACAGGGGGCACTGCTCATGCACTTGGAGTTGGGAACAGATCATGTCCTAGCAGGTTCATACCGCGTTCGCCCACCCTACGCCGCAGATGCCTGGACCTCCTTTCAACACTGTCTTTCTGGCTTGGCTCCTGAGTGGTCCAGGCTGATGGTGCGCCAAAGAGCGCAAGGGGCAGCACACCTCGCTTGCCGTCGCCGGCGCCATGGGATGCAGCTTCGAGGCGGCAAAGTCTCATCATGCTCATCGGAGCTCAGGTATGCTAAGGTGTTGTTTTATGACAGAAGTGAGTGGGCCTCTCTACAATTTGCAAGGCAATACTTGATCTGCTATGGTGCCGTTCAGAGCCAGGTCCACGCAGCCGGTCATTGCTCCCGCAGCGTGGCACTACAGGCCGCCGACCCGTGAGCGGCGTGAGCGGTCGGTAGGGCGAGGCATGGGGCTAAGTGAAAAGTGGGATGTGCACACGAACCGCTTGTGCAGCAATGAGCCTCAGGCTCAGAACGATCTGTGCCGGCGTCTCATGTGTACTGCAACTAAATTCACAAACTCACCCGTACTTGCTGCAGAGGTCGCCTGCGGCACGCCTTGACAATGCCTGCACTGGAGGTTGCGCGCGAGTTACCAATTCGTTGTTCCTTTCATGCCTGTTCAAACTGACGAGGCCCTGTAAGAGGCTTGGAGGAGGCCTGGGTGCAGAAACGTGAGAGGATGTTGATGCAAAGCCCCCACATGCCGTGCACTCGATCTTTCTGAGTGCACAATATGTCTTTTTGATGCAGATCCTCCGTGCTGCCTCGCCTTTGCGCGTCTCAGGCATGGGCATAGCTAATGGCAGCTAGTGGCTGCTGTAATCAAATGTGTGAAAGACCGTGCAAGCTTAGTTGGGATCAAGGACGTGTCGCCGACAAGCTGGCGACTTCCAGGTGCTGCGTTGGGGTGAAGCCTTTTTTGAGGGCTCGTGCTTCACCTCTGGTTTTGCACGAAGGCCCCGTGTGCCTGCTCAACCTGCTCGGCGGCTCACACGTGCGGCGGCCAGTCTGGCTGGCAACAAGATCTCGGAGGTTGGTTTGCCATGTTTTGCCTTTCAAGCGCACGACGCGCATGGAGCTTGGACTCTGACTCCTTGCAAGGCTCGTGCTGACCTCCAAGCAAGGCAAGAGAATGCTGGCAGCTGCTAGCATGTGTTTGCAGTCTTGCACGCTACCTTTAGTACTATGCTGTGCAGCTGTGTCCAGTTTCTGTTGCGGCCTGCAGCCGTAAAGTGCTCACTTGCTGCCAAGCCTTTCCCGCTCCAAGCTTCCTCATGTCTTCGGTGAACGTCATCACTGACAGCCGTCTCTTTGTTCCTTGGCTTTTCAGCAGCACTCCGATCTTCTCTTCTCGTCTTTTTGACATGTAAAAGAAAGGTCAGCGAGCCCGATCCTCGCTGGTTTGGAAATCCACGAAACCCGACAGATGCAGTGGCCCAGGCGCGCCTTGCGGGGCTGTAGCTTCAGTTGGCCTTCTTGCCTAATGGTCTGGGCAGGGCTGGACGAACCAGAACTGGCTAAAGTCAAGATTCCACTTCAACTTTGCAGAGTACCACGAGGGCCCCAGCAGTTTTGGAGTGCTGCGCGTGATGAGACTTGGCTCCCAGAAGCAATGTGTTTCCATGAGTCAGCCATGTCAGCCCACTCACCCTAGGAACGATGACCTGGTTCAGGGGGAGAGGGGCTTCGGCGAGCACCCGTGCGGGACCCAGACGAAGAATTTCGGGCTTCAGGTTGAACTTCAGCAGAAGCTGGCAATTGGCTGGCCAAATGCAAGAAGTCTATGTAACTTCTGCCGCGGGGCGTTCGTGAACAAGGAAAAGCAGTAGGTTTTTCTGCAAAATGCAGGCCCTGATTACCCAGCATCAGCAAATCCACAGATGCTACACTGCTATGCTAATGGCAGTCGGCCCGTTTTTCCGAAAGGGGGGGGGCCTCTCGTTGGCGGCCCTGTTAATGAACAGACAGGCTTCTGCTTTGGAGAGCTTGCTTGATCCTTTATGGCTTGCAGTCCTTCCTTGTCAATTGGAGTCAATTCGTTCCATGAATGTGGCCATCGGGCTCAGATGATGTCCTTTTCCTATCATGCACTCCGAGGCACAGGGACATGGAGATATTGACCCTCATAGTGGATGGAGAGCTGACACACAAGGACCGGTTCAAAGCTCGACAGCTAAGCACCTGACTCAACTGGAGTCAACTCGGGTGCAGGTCCTGAGCATGATGGAAGCAAGAAGTTGACATTGCATCAATGAACAGTGAACAGTGCCATGCTGGTTTACAAGCTCACCAGTGCATAATCACGTGCTGGGCGGGTGCCTGGCACTTTGTGGGATCTGTTGTAGCTTCATGTTATGTGGATTTTCCAGACTTGTTGACCAGGACTCCAAGGGCAACAGGAGACCTTGGATCGTGGCGGGATCCAGTTCATGTCCGCAGGTACTGGCATCTACCACTCTGAGCACAACTTAGCCAAGTCACCGCTTCGGTTCATCCAGTGCTGGATTGCAGCTCGGCAAAAGTTAGCAGAGTGGGCAGCTGGGTGGTGTGGCCTTTTTCATGCTGAGTAAGCTTCTGTTTGCGTTTAAGGTGCCACGGGCTCGCGGCTTGAAGCCTCACTATGGCTCCAGCCTCGGTGGCAAGGAGGCAGCGGCGGCTCGAAAGGATCAGTGGGCACACCTCGCAACCCGGCTCATTCTATTTCTCAGGAAGGAAAGGACGTTATGTCTTCCGGGGAGGAAGGTAAGGATGCTTTTTCTTTTTGCTTTGATGGTCGTCTTTGGTACAGGTCTCGGATGAGATGTCTTCAGCGCGGACGAAAATCAAGATCAACCAAGATTGCAATGTCTTCGCCACGGAGCTCTCAGCCGGCAAGACCTCTCAGCCCTTCTCGATTGCTGGCCGCCAAGCCTACATGCTGTGCGTGGAGGGTGAGTAGTTTCAGAACAGCTTAGCCCGACATGATGCTGCAGAAATCAAAGACTTGACTTAGAAGTCACTGCAGGGCCCTCTGGAGCCTTTGTCTTGATGTTCACTCGCGACGTGGCCTCTAGTGCAGAAAGGCTTTTCAGAGCACTGAAGCTCTGGCCAGCGGAAAGTTGGTCCTGGAGACATGATGGGCTGCCCGCTGACTGTACATACTACCCAGAGTTTTGCACGGATTATCTCGTGTTGTTTTGTTGGCACTTGCTCAGCCCGGCTTGTCCGGGAGACACGATGGGCAAGCCGTTTCGCAGACCTGTACAGTCCACAATTTGAGCTGCATGGAGCAACTACTGTAGACATCAGCATAAAAGTTCACAGGGCTCGCAACCTGCAGCCAAGCAAGGCAGTTGCAACGCAGTTTGCCACGTTTTGTCTGGATCTGCCAGGCGGGCAGAAGGCTGCACAGCTGACAAATGCAGTTTGGAGAGGCCGGGGTGGTGCAAGCACAGCTCTATTGTCATCACATGGTGCAGATTGCTTGGCAGGTTTCTTGGACGTGGCAAGGGCCGGGCAGGAGCCTCGCAGCTTTGCGAGCATGATCCCCAAATCTCAGGCTCCCAAGCGTGTCTCAGGCAATGGGCCGCGGAAGCACGCCTGCTGATTGCGAACTGCGGAAAAAACTCTTGCACCTGACAGTGCGTTGTTGTCTGTACTCTACTTAGCAGATTGGCTAATGGCAAGATGCTGGGATCCCGTGCAACTATCCCGCTCTCTAAAGACGAAAACGAAGCAAAAGGCGTGGTAGAGGCATGCGACAAGGTTACCCCTTGTAGGTGGGATAGGGCTGAAAAAACTTTATAAGCATCAACAAAATTTTATAAGCATCAAGAAAAAACCTTTTTAAGCATCAAGCAAAAACTGTTTAAGCATCAAACAAAAAGAACTTACTGCTTATTTCATGGGGGGTACAACAGTCTGGAAAGTTTTTTTTGATGCGTGGGCTTCGACCCTGGTAGCACGGGCCGGGTAGTTGGAGTGAGAGCTCTGGGGAGAAGGGAAAAGGATGGGAGAAGGGTTATTGCGAACAGATGTTACGGGCGTCGGTACATATTTCCGGCTTTCGGATCAAGCATGCCCTGCCCTTGGCACTGCGACCAGCACCACGTTGGCTTAGGCGTGTCGGCACAAAGCCGTACTGCTCTCCAGAAATGTTCCTAGAGAAAGGCAGGGGCTTGTACACCACACAGACGGACGTGTGGTCCGTCGGGCTCACAGCCTTTTGGCTGCTGTACTGGAGACTGCCGTGGGACGAGTCATGCTTGGCAGAAAACGTGGAGATCCATCGAGCTCCATGTCTTATCAACCTAAAGACAGATGAGCCCATTTCAGGCTCAAGCTTTTGTAACTGGACTCATGTATATTGAAATTTAGAACGCGCTTGTATGCAGTACTCAGGTACCCAAGAGAGCGACGAAGGCCCACAAAGAAGTGCTTTTGTTGCTTCGCGCCGCTTTGCAGCGCAAGCCCGCACGCCGAACGACGGCGACGCAAGCGTTGCAGCATAGATGTTTCACGTAAATCCCGGCTGCCTTGAGGTGAGAAGCCGCAGTTTCCAAAGCAACGCTCTGTACGATTTTCAAAGACGCGCCAAAGGCCATTCCCATATCGCAGTCAACATTGTGGCGCCGCATGTGAGAGTGCTAGCCTGTCTTTAGCAAGGTCCGCTGAAGCATCCCAACTCCCTCGTTATGTGTTGGCTGCCTAGGCCAGTATCAATTCCGTGCAGATGTTGCCGATCCAGGCATCCAAGAGCGTCTCTGATGCAGTAATTATTTTGAAATGGTGCCCAGATCTTGCAAACTAGCTCCGAGCAGAGTTCTCTTTTGAGACTGCTTGATGTCAGACTCTTGGCCATGCGTGGCTTGCTTTGAGATGACCACATAGCCCCGTGCAACTTGCTATTCCACTCAACAGAGCCAAGATACCCAAGATACCTACCCCAATAGCCTCAAAATACCCAAAGGCCGAAATCCTTGCATCTGGCGACACTTCGCCTTGGAGATGAGCAGCTTCTAAGACCCAGCAATGCTCAGGGCTGTTCGAATCCTGGCGGTTTTCATCTGTGACATCCTGCCAACTGCCGGCTTCTCAGCTTCTTGCTGGCCCCCGCCTACCCCTCCCACGTGAAGCACAGACTAGCCGAGCATGACAGCACGTGCACCCATGTGGCTTGGCCCAAGAGAGCGTAGCCTGGTGTAGCTTGACCCACAGGAGGTTTGAGGCATGATTTCGGCGGTGCTCCTGTGTCCTTTCAGTTCGCAGCTGGCCTTGCTCCACCCTGTGAACCTGCACCCCAGAGTGTACCTCCAGCCCCAAAGTGTCCCTCCAGTTCCCAACCCCGAATGTTTTTCCAGTGTCCAATTTTAGAGTGTGCGACCCCAAACGTGCCCAACCACAGAGTGTAACTCCATTGCAAATGTCCTTCCGGCGCCCATCCCGCAAAATGCCCCTGGCAGTGTCCAACCCTAGAGTGTCGCTCCAATGCCCATTTAAAGTGTTCCTCCACGCGCAACCCTCACAGTGTCCCTTGAATGCGAATGTTCCTAAAGGTGCTTGCCCGCAACATCTTCGGAGCACTGACCCACAAAGTGGTTTTGGAGTGCCCATCCACACCTCCCCGCCCATGTGGTTGGCTTGTCTGACTTTAAGTTCATGTGTCCTCGCTGCGTTGTCGTGCCTGGAGTGCCCAGCAGTGCACAACACCCCCACATGGTCCAGTGCCCACCCAACTTTTCCGGACAGTGCCCACCTCTTGATGCCAGCAGATGATCCCGTGCCAACCCCCAGCTTGTCTCAACATTTCCTCCTTCAGATGATGTAAGCAGGGCCGTCAGCAAATTAATTGAGTTCAGGGTGGGGATTCTCGAAGAAAGTAATTGTTTGGTCTTTCTTGGTGGACCCCCCAATTAGACCAATGAGCTCCAAAAGCCGGCGCAAATTCTGTGGATGTTCGCCATGTAGATTAATACTCCACGGAGTTGAGGCCCTTCCAGTTCGTCCTCGGGATTGTCCTGCCGTAGACCTGGTTGCGTGATTGGTGCATTGAAGAAGCTCTGTGGGTGTCGTAGTGCGTGCGTGTTGGGCAGCCTTAGAATTCCAGGCCCCAGCAGCTCAAGCGACAGCCAGCTCTTCTGGCAGCAAGCGAGGTGTGCCGCAGCAGTCACTCCGGCCTACGACCGGCTGCTGCTGCTGCTCAGCGCACCTTGGCCAGACAATTGCAACACAATGTGCCTGAACCCGTGCTGTCAGTCAAGCCTGCCAAGGACAACTTCGCCCTTGTGCCTCGAGTTCGTGACTTCGTAGAGGCAGGGCTAGGTCTTGGGTTTTTTCTGCCACCGGGAATATGCGTTCCAAAAACACTAGGGAAGCGCAAGTATTTACCAGCATGAGCTTCAAGCGTTCCCAGTTTGAGCCCGAGTACCTGTGGTTTACGCGAACGGCTCTTTGCCATTATGTCAACAGAGTGCCGCGGTTGCGAGTCGCAATTATTTTCCCAGTGTTGCCTGCGCAAAAAGGATCATGCCATGCGCAAGGTTCTGGAAACAAGATCAAGGAAGGCTTCAAATCATTGCTGGTTAAATTACGTATACTGGAATTATGTTCCGACGGCTTGCCATTAGAGTCCACGTACCCATGTTTCAAGCTGGTTCTTCGCAAAGCGTCCGTAGTCTTCGAGTGGGTTGAAATCGTTCCTTCTTGAGGACGGTTTCAAATCACAACTGGTTGCCTGTTGACGCCTCAATGGAAAACAAGCGTTGGGAGGGTTTGCCAACAGAGGCCACATGTCCATGTTTCGAGTTGGATTTGCGCAACAGTCTGTATCTCTCGGATCTGTATTTCTAAGCGCCGCAGCATCTCTGACTTGTGGCTCTGTTGAAATGATGACAATGCGCTGCCAACGCGAGGCCCGTCTCTGCAAAGTTTGTCGTCGGGGCTGACGATCAGGGCTAAGTAGGTTTTCCCCCCATAAAAGCGCAACATCTCGATGACAAGCTCGGAGACATTCATTTGCCGGTGTTCAATTGGAATCGTGAAACGGTTGAGTGCCGCCGTGCTTCGGGCTTGTCGATTGCGGGTCTGTGGCCGCAGGTGCAGAAGCAGAAATCTGGTCAGGGGCTTACATGGAAACCTCTGTCAAGCAAACCTAAATTCTGGTCACCGTTAACTTGAATCCCAAAAAGATTTAACCAAATCCCCGCCCTAACTTAGTTCCCCTGTTAAGGCCCTGACCGAATTGCCTTCAGGCCCAAAAAGCCTCCTAAATCCCTCCACCCCTCCTATGACCCTACGGCCCTGAAGCCCCAAAGCCTCTGACGCCCTGACCCCTAAGCCCTGAGCCCCCCTAACCTCACCCTAACCCCTAAGGGGGGATTGTGGTCTGCGGGACTCTATTGAGACTATTTATCGTAGTTGGGAGCAACTATTAAGTAATAATTAAATGTCTCGGCAATGCGTAAACTGTAAGTGCAGTCTCCACTTAAGGTAAATGCCAATCCCACCCCCCAAGTTTATGAGTCAGGTAGATAGCCTAGAATACTAGTGGCTGGCCAGATTGTGGACTGAATGATCAAATGACACGGGAGAATGGACACTTCTTAGGTAATATGCTATGGTAAAGGGTCATACCAGGAGTAAACACATTCCGAGACTTCTTGGCCCACTTGGGGTAGGTAAATTATCTCAAGCTAGTATTGACGTGTATGCACCCATGTAACCTTCAACCCTGAATCCTAAACCCTGACCCCTAAACTCTAAACCCTGAACCCTAACCTTAAACCCTACAGGGAACTGACATC